ATGCTAGTTGATGAGGTGAGTGTGTTAGTTTAGGTTTTTCCCCGCTTTTTTATCTAAGCTCCAACACTTTTAGGTGTCTCAATTCGATATAGAGCTTACCGAACTTTGTACATATCCCATGGTATCGAAAAAGCTCAGAGATTTGGTCAAACCTCACGAAAATGGTCATTCTCATTCTCATGACTCGCATATGTGTGCAGCTGCTCTGTCAGCTGGGTAATTCCTTCTAATTTTTTTTTCAGCCAAGATGGGCCTATCCCAATTTTGAGATTTAAGGACTGGCTATCAAGAACTAGACGACCTCATGCGGGATCCACGTCCACTTCGATTCATATTCCATTTGTTATCCGTTACACAGCCGGAAGAATACGAAGCAGAAGGCTGGCAGCTTACATCGGAAGAAAAAATACAATCTGTTGAAACGTTGCGATTACAGGGAAATCAGTTATTTGCTGAGGTTTGGATAGTTAGGTTCTAAAATTACAGCTTACTGCAAAATCTACCTGACTGAAAGGATCTAAATAGGGAGTTTTCTTAACATCAAATGATCGGGTGAATAATGGGCTTGTTAGAAGTAATGTGATTGATTGAATTTTTCTCAAGTAATCTGATTAGTTAGTTAAAAATTTTGTAACAAAAAATATATTTAGCCGGCAATAATAAATTACTTAAGAACTCAAAAATAACGATAATATGGCATTGAAATAGGCTGCAAAAGATGTCTAATACGCTTTTGAAGAGTAAATCTGAGATATTTAGCTTTTTTTATCGAGAAAACGATCTGTAACATGCAGCTCGTCGTCTCATTACTCATGCCGATCTCAGCATTCTTCTTTTCTCAGTTTTCGTGGCTGATCCGTTTAGCCCTTGAATACTGCCGAATAAGCTCTCCTTAGCTAGTTAATATATAGCGTCAAAAAATTATCTGGCGTAAAATTCCAACTGTTAGAGTTTTCCTTTGCTAAATATGTCTTTTACTTGATAATTTGTGTAATTGATCCATTGAACCATAAAAATCGTTTTTTTCCCTTCAAGAACGACAGCTCAGTCGTTGGAATCAAATGTTT